TGATCAGAGGCCAATGGGCAAATTTGGCCAGGATGCCGAGGTCACACCTCTACTCTTTTCGAAAGACATCCTGGGATTTTTAATGACCACAGAGAGTCAGGACCTCTATATTGTAATAGAATTGTTCTTCTTAAATCAAGAACACGGTCAGAGACAGTCTTTTAATTTTTTATTCTTGCAAGGTCAGACAATACAGCAGTGAGCTCCACCATATGTGTGACAAAAGCAAGTGAGCATGCATCTCTACTTTTATACCTTTTAGCCAATGGTCGTCTCTCTAATATCATATATACCTAATGCGTGATAAACACTTGATATGTCTCATTCCTCAGGTAGCATCTTCCCGAAATTCAAGATAGTATCCTGTTTTTCCTCAACAAGCAGGTCATGGTGACATCTCTGCTCAGACCCAGCAGGCCTCTCATGTGAACTCATACAGCATTTGAATTGCTCCCTCACAACATACTTCTGTTTTTTACTTGGTTGCATAACGTTATACAATATACAAACTTACCGATTTTGGTGCGCATTAGTTTAATCTCAATTTACTTTTCTTTTTCTAGCCTTCTATTTTGTTGTGTATGTATCTATGTATGTATCTACAGCTACTGGAAACCACAAAAAAGTCCTTGTGTCTTTGCTTACACTTGGCAAATAAAGATCATTCTGAATCCCCAGATAGTGGCTATCATGAATGTTCATAATTGTAATTGTAGGATTTAGTTGATATAATGCATATTTGGTTACATACATTTATGGCATGTCATTACTAGCAAATTAAACAGAAAAGCACTCTAATAGATAACATGGGTGGCTCTTAAAAGAGCCTTTGGTTTCACAAACAGACTAGAATCGGTTTACTTGGCTTTGGCGGGTTTCTCGCTCTTCTTGGGCAGCAGCACGGCCTGGATGTTGGGCAGCACGCCGCCCTGAGCGATGGTCACTCGGCCCAGGAGTTTGTTCAGCTCCTCATCATTGCGCACCGCCAGCTGCAGGTGACGGGGAATGATGCGGGTCTTCTTGTTGTCTCTAGCGGCGTTTCCAGCCAACTCCAGGATCTCAGCGGTGAGATACTCGAGCACAGCCGCCAGATAGACCGGAGCTCCGGCACCGACGCGCTCTGCGTAGTTACCTTTGCGGAGAAGCCTGTGAACACGACCGACGGGGAACTGCAGCCCTGCTCTGGA